AGAGAGAGAGAGAGAGAGAGGAAACGAGATTGGTATTTTGCATGAAGAGAGGAGTAATGGCATAGAAAGGCGCTGCTGCCTGTGCTGCTCGTACTAATTACTCGTTTTTCACGACACATGAAACCTGAAGTAACGAGTGAAGAGGAGCAGCTGAAATTAAAAGTGACTGAGCTCCTTCACACAGTGATGAGCTGCAGCTCCTGCGTTCTGTCTTGGATCTAAATCTGTCGCTATCTTTCCTATTTTCAGATCATCTGGAGTCAACTTCCAGCTTTTTTTATTTCGATTCCTCACACAGTGGAATTATTTTTCTAACAAAGGCTTGTCAAGCACAAATACTGCCAGGATGTGGTCTTGCATCACAGACTTCTTCACCTATGAAACCACTAAGTCGGTGGTTGTGAAAAGTTGGACTATTGGAATCATCAACCGTGTTGTCCAGCTCCTCATCATCACTTACTTCATTGGGTGAGTGTTTGCTTGGACTTGGACAGTACCGACATTTATCTGGTTGAATAAAACATCAGAACACAAACATGTATTTTAAAGGCTTTGCTGTTCAGTGCTCTGGATTAGTTGTTACATTAGGAAGGTTTAATTCTTCACTTTATTACTTTATATTTTATTATCTTTATAAAGCCACAGTTGTGTTGGTTAAATACATCGTTCATGTTTTACATAAAACCTCTTTGTTACTGGGAAAAGTAACCCATTCACTCAGCTGTAAAAGAAAGCTAACGAAGTATGCTTAATCATTCAAGTAAGGAAACCCCAGAAAGTTGATTTGGCTCATTTGAACGTAACATTTTGAATGGTCATGATCATGAAACTGAGCTCACGAGCCATTGTTAGTCAGTGTACTAGGTTTGGTCTTCATACAGATGGACTGTAAATCTAACAAACCTTCATGTATTACTACAGTTTGTGGCTCTGAGAGTTAGTGTCTCAGTCCGAGTACTTAGGAATTACAACTGATTACTCGCTCTAATTTAAACGTCAGCAACTGGTGAAAAAATTGAAATTGAAACTTGATCCTTTTCGTCATTTGAGGCAAGAAAGATGTGATTTGTATGCATGCATGCTCTGCTTATGCTGGATTCTGTTCATCGTGAGCTTCCTTACACACTCTAAACCTCTTACTGTCGGGTTGGGTGGTTATGTCGTAGACTCAACCTCTGGTATGTTCTTATTTATCAGGCTATTCTTATTTACAAACTAACACCCATCAAAAAAGTATGGGAAGCTACTGTTTTGGGTGCCAAGAATTGTTCTTCTTTCTCAGAGGTTCACAGTAAATTTGGAAAAAGAGCATGCAGCTCCTTCCTCCTGGAATCAGCTGGGGAACCAACTGGTCTCACTCAATGAATTTAAAGTAAATGTGAACAACTTGAATGCAGTTAATTCAGGCTCTTTGACTGTGCTTTACTGTTGTATGGATATGCATGCTCTATTAGTTTATGCAACGTATGATTGTACTGCTGTCCGTCTTGGCCAGGTAAAAGAGATTTTTAATGTCAAGAGTTTGTCATTTTCCTGTTTTCATAAAGGTAAAAATAATAATAGTAATACTGTGGAGAACAGTCAGAATTGTTCTTTTGGTCCATAGCTGATGAAAAATGGAAATAGCTTCTTGGTCTGAAAGTACCTTGAACATGAATTATTTGTAGTAGCCAGCAGGGGGCAGAATCCTCTGGTTCTGAAAAGACTTGTGCATATTTTCCTGTGACTGTAGAGGTCAACAAACAGGATTGTCCAGTCCCACTGGCTAATGTCTTTCAATTAAGAAGTAATTAGCCTCTGAGCATGTGGTGTCCACACTTACCCAGCCTTTTTTTAATCACAGTCTCCAACACTGAGGTGCTGATGTGAACATTCTGAGCTTAGCTTCCTCACTAATGCTTTTCCAACCAGTTACTGTGAGAAGCCACTTTTTTTATGCCCAATTTCTGTTGGAGTCTCTGTCATGCTGGAAGCTAGCCATGTTTCCTCCTTCAAGCACAGGCCGGGGAGGACTGGTGGCAGCTATCTTTTACTCCAGCTCATGAAATAACCAAAGACCCAGACAGGAAGCAGGAGTTTACATTTGGAAGCTTGACTCTAAGCCTCGAATACATCCATCCATCTTCATCCGCTTATCCGAGGTCGGGTCGCGGGGGCAGCAGCCTAAGCAAAGAGGTCCCAGACCTCCCTCTCCCCAGCCACCTCCTCCAGCTTTCCGGGGGAATACCAAGGCGTTCCCAGGCCAGCCGAGAGATATAATCTCTCCAGCGTGTCCTGGGTCTGCCCCGGGGCCTCCTCCCGGTGGGACATGCCTGGAACACCTCACCCAGGAGGCGCCCAGGGGGCATCCTTGTCAGATGCCCAACCACCTCAGCTGGCTCCTTTCGATGTGGAGCAGCAGCTGCTCTACTCTGAGCCCCTCCCGGATGGCCGAACTTCTCACCCTATCTCTAAGGGAGAGGCCAGCCACCCTTCGGAGGAAGCTCATTTCCGCCGCTTGTATCCGCGATCTCGTTCTTTCGGTCACTACCCACAGCTCGTGGCCATAGGTGAGGGTAGGGACGTAGATCGACCGGTAAATTGAGAGCTTCGCTTTTACACTCAGCTCCCTCTTCACCACGACGGACCGGTGCAGCGTCTGCATTACTGCAGCTGCAGCCCCAATCCGTCTGTCGATCTCCGGCTCCCTTCTCCCATCACTCGCGAACAAGACCCCGAGATACTTGAACTCCTCCACTTGGGGCAGGAACTCATCCCCGACCCGGAGTGGGCACTCCACCCTTTTCCGGCTGAGAACCATGGCCTCAGATTTGGAGGTGCTGATCCTCATTCCCGCTGCTTCACACTCGGCTGCGAACCGTTCCAGTGCGAGCTGGAGGCCCTCACCCGATGAAGCCAACAGAACCACATCATCCGCAAAAATCAGAGATGAGATTCTGAGGCCACCAAAGCGAAAGCCCTCCGCCACTTGGCTGCGCCTAGAAATCCTGTCCATAAAAATTATGAACAGAACTCGGATGACAAAGGGCAGCCCTGGCGGAGCCCATCACCCACCGGGAACGAGTCCGACTTATTGCCGGCAATGCGAACCAAGCTCTTGCAACGGTTGTATAGGGATGAATGGCCCGTAGCAATGGGCCAGACACCCCATACTCCCGCAACACCTCCCACAGGACACCCCGAGGGACACGGTCGAATGCCTTCTCCAGTCCACAAAACACATGTAGACTGGTTGGGCAAACTCCCATGCACCCTCAAGTATCCTGAGAGGATAAAGAGCTGGTCCAGTGTTCCGCGACCAGGACGAAAACCGCATTGTTCCTCCTGTATCCGAGGTTCGACTAGCGGACGAACTCTCCTTTCCAGCACCCTGGCATAGACTTTCCCAGGGAGGCTGAGGAGTGTGATCCCCCTGTAGTTGGAACACACCCTCCGGTCCCCCTTCTTAAAGATGGGGACCACCACCCCGGTCTGCCAGTCCACAGGCACTGCCCCTGATCTCCACGCAACATTGCAGAGCGTGTCAACCAAGACAGCCCTACAACGTCCAGAGCCTTCAGGAACTCGGGGCGGACCTCATCAACACCAGGGGCTCTGCCACCAAGGAGTTGTTTAACTGCCTCAGTGACCTCGCCCCCGGAAATTGGCGGGTCATACCCCTCATCCCCAGACTCTGCTTCCTCCTCGAATACACTAATTAAAAAACTCTAGAAATAGTTTTGTTTGTTGCTATCTGTTGTTTATCCCCTTTAATCAGAGTTTCTATTTGAATTCTCTTTTACCTCATTTAATGCTTATTTCAGATAAAATAATTATAGTGGGTGATTAAATTTTCGTATACGTACTGAAATCAACAGCCTAAACACTGCATTTAATCTATTATTAGACCCAGTTGGCTTTAATCACACTCTGAGCCTCATTCTGACACAAGGCATAGGAAATGGACATTAGTGAATACTGTTTAATGTCTGATCTTTTCTTAATAAAGTTTACATGTGCAAAAATGGACTACAAGAAAAAAAAGAGAGCCTCAAATCAGAAGTGCTTGACTTCCTTGTACAACTTACAGACACGGGCCTTAAAGCAGATAGCTCTGGAGAGCAAATGGCATCTCACTAATTTAGAAATTCGTTTTTTCTTTCTTTTTAAGGCCCTCAGTGAAGATAGGACTTATTTATCACTGAGTGAAGCAAATGAGTACATCTCCAGGTTTCTCGTCAGAGCTGTAACCAGGCTGATGAAAACTCAGAGCGCTGTTCAGCCCAGCATTCCTTTAACCTTAAACAGTAACCACTCCATCAATTTCTTCACAGATAACATTTTAACCATTAAAGAAAGAAATATTGATGACCATCTCACAGACATTATGTCCAAAACTTTCAATACTACTGATATTTATTTAGACTCTTTCTCTTAGATTGTTTGAGTAATTTGATTACTTCCTCCAACATATCTTTTAGACCCCATTCCTACAAGACTGCTCAAAGACATCCCACCATTAACTAATCCCTTTATCTTAAATATGATCAAAATATCTTTACTCCCTAACTTCTCTTAATATCACGTGACCAGCTGTCTTATATATCTCTGACCTTCCTTTTATCAATTGTTGAACGAGTAGTTGTAAAACAACTGTTCATCTGCAGATATATGGTTTTGTTGAAGTCAGAGCTCATCACAGCACAGAAACAGCACTAGTGAAAATACTGAATAATCGTACGGCCTCTGACAGTGGACTCATGCCTGTGCATGTCCTGGTAGACCATCGCTGATCTCAACATTGTACTGCACAGATTAGATCATGCGGTGGGTATGAAGGCCACTGCAGTGGTTTGAATCATGTCTATGTAACAGACTCCAGTGTTTTTATGTAAATGTCTTCTTCACATACCGAGGTTAATTATGGAGTTCCACAGGGTTCTGTGTTGAGGCCAGTTGTCTGGCCATCGTGGCTCAAGAGTTGGGAGTTCGCCTTATAATCGGAACGTTCTCGAGAGTCTCGGTCGTTGTGTCCTTGGGCAAGACACTTCACCTGTTGCCTACTGGTGGTGGTCAGAGGGCCCAGTGGCGCCAGTGGCCGGCAGCCTCGCCTCTGTCAGTGCGCCCCAGGGTGGCTGTGGCTACATGTAGCTTGCTGTCGCCAGTGTGTGAATGTGTGCGTGGATTGGTGGATGACAGGTTGTGTAAAACTGCTTTGGGGTCCTTAGGGACTAGAAAAGCGCTATACAAATACAGGCCATATTTACATTATGCAGATGATACTCAGCTTTATCTGTACATGAAGCCATATGAGACACACCGATTATTTAAACTACAGAAAAAAAACACTAATAGATGAAGAAAACTGAACTGAATTGTTTATGCTAGAGATTCCTTCTTAGACTTAGTCTCTCCTACACCGATTGGCACTTGGGATAACTAATGACTTCCAACGACTCCGGTCATTTGTGGTTAGCTCAGCTTCCCAGATGATGCCAACAATGTTCAGATCTTTAACGTCTTCACTGCAGTCTACGACATGGTTGCTCAGTAGCCACTGATGCCTGTCCCAAACCCAGAGGTTAGAAGGAATGGGCATGCACCCCGTAAAAAGTTATCTTGCTACAGAATCAGCTCATGATATCTCGATGTTAGGGATTAGTAGACTCCATTTCTAATTTGATATTAGCTGCTGCTGTTGACTGAAGCCAAAACTGAGCATTAGTATCACGTTCTGTTTTTATTTATTTATTATTTATTTAACATGACACAAAAGGTTTTTAAACCTCCTAAGACCCCAACTCTTCCATGACATGTGTGGCGAGACGAGGTAGAAATAAAGTAAATACTCTTTGCAGTTTTAAAAAGGACAACGCCACCCTGGGAATTTCACCCAGAGAATACTGGAAATAACACTAAATCACCAAAAAGGCACTTAGGTTCGCTATACTCAATCCAGAGACGAGGTTCAATGATCAACAAATTGACAATTTATTAATAATTATTTAAAACACCATATAAAAGCACAATCATAAATATTCAAATACAAATATGCTTAAAAAGGTATTCAGAGCTGAGGCTTACCAGTGGAGGGGCAGGGATGCCACACACAAACTAAAGAAAGAAAACACACCAAAACACAAGTGCAGCACACTATCACACACTCACACTAATAAACTAAACAAGGCGGGTGTGTACACTCAAGGGATCCCACCACCAAGGCACCCTAGTCTCCTCCACGTCGGCACTCCGCACCTGAATAAAAGAAACAAAGAAAATTTTAATATATTACAACAAACTAATGTGTAGCACCGGGGGATAACCCAACTGCAAGACCACACTGGTGATCTACACCTAGAAAAAGGGCCTCCCACCAGTGATGTAACAAAAATCCAAACTACAAATCAAAAGCAATAAAACAACATACAATCTGGATAAAACTCTAAAATCTGGAGCAAACGGAATCGCCGTACTGCTCCAACTTGCCGTCACACAACGACAAGTTAACAGTCAATCAATATGCACGCCAGCTGACTCCGATAACCGGCATGCATATGGCCGTTGTCCACGCCGACGTCCACTGTAAAAGCTGACAGCAGCAGGGAAAGAAATCTCACAACGGGAACAGACAATAAAAGCACAGCAAGGCAAAACAGCAGCACTTCAGTTCACGTAGCTTGGTGCAAAACTAAGGCCCACACTTCCTGCGAAACATAATAAATAATTACTATAAAAGAACAATAGAAGGCAGAGAGCGTAACAAAAGTTGATTACGTACCAAGTAAGCCGTGTCATAGAACGTAAGCCGAATAGCTCAGAGGAGGCTTCTATAGCTACGACCAGCCGCGATGGAGACTTCAGAAGAGTAACCCGCAAATGATCTTTACCACACCGAGGGGGAAGTCAGGTGACCGAAAAGGAGATCACAGGCAAGCGACGCAGAGACACTCAAATGGCCACTATTTATACCAGCGCCCCCTAATGGGCCAGGCTGAAAGTGGGTTGGACCGAGGGATAACATTCATCCTGCCACACATGCATTTTTAATTTCTCTTTGATATTTGGACATATTTGGGCCCAATGAATGTAAAAACAAAGAATTACCAGATTCTTTTTTAACCTTATTTTTGTTTTTAAGAAAAGTAAGAGCCACATATGAGGATATTCGTTTTAAATTTTGATAGAACAGTAGCAGTATAATGTCCTCGTAAGTGGATGTCAGGCCCATGTAGAGCAAAATTGAGTATTTTAGTCTAAAAACCCCAAAATGTGATGTCCACATATGTGGACGCCAGGTCCTAGGAGGTTAAGTGATGAAAAGGCCTGTACAAAGCATTTCAGAGGGTCGCCAGATTATTTTTAAAGTTGAAAAATTCCAAACTCTCAGGTAACGTCTTGCAGTTCTGTAAGTAGAACATGCAATAAGTCCAAATGGCTTTGGTGGGAACGGACGCCCATAAACCATCCGTTCTAACATGCAGTCAAAACTGTGAAAGGGTTCATTTTAGACCTAAACAAGATGTTTTATTAAACTGACAGTTTTGCTGCACACACCACAGCAAACAAGCACCAAAAGTAAGAATCCAATAAAACTGAACACTTAGTGAACTCTGTCAGAAAACATGGTTTCCATTGGTAGTATGAATCCTGTTCTCCTGGCTGAAGTCTCACATTTAACAACTTCTGTTTCTTAATATGGATTTTTGATCTTTATCCTGCCTCACTAGAGGCTAAATCACACTGAGAATAATGAGAATAATATGAGAGTAATCACACTTGTCTGCTCTGCAAATTCTCATAGTGACTTCTCAATAGGTCATTCATTTCATTATTTATTTCCAATCAAAAGACCTCAACTCTTAATTATTCTGAAAAGAAAACTCTGAGCTAATGATCACAGATTAGCAGATCTAACTAAATTCCTGTGTAGTGTCTTACAGCGAGCATTTTCAGTGCACTATCCCTGATTGTAGCTAGTGGCGAGAAAGGTTGTTTTTTTAAGTATAATGATGCTTATGATTACATTTTGGCATGCGTCACTCTCTATGTAATGTTTCAGATGGGTGTTTCTCACTGAGAAGGCCTACCAGATTAGAGACACGGCGATTGAATCCTCTGTGATGACCAAGGTCAAAGGCTTTGGAATCTACAATAACAAGGTTATGGATGTAGCAGACTACGTCACTCCTACACAGGTGTGTGTGTATGGACGAATGTAAGGACTGACTGAGTGAAGATGAGATACTGACAGACTGCATTTGTATCTCCTGCAGGGAGCTTCGGTGTTCTGCATCATCACTAAACTGATTACTACAGAGAACCAAGTCCAAGGATATTGTCCTGACGTAAGTCATCATCACCACGACTAACAGATCATCACTCAGTCCTGGGGCTCATTTACTTTACAGATACACAAAGCCAATGTTGGCTACGTGCTAGTTGTAAACACAATGCTTTCCCTTTTGGAAAAAGCAATAGTATCTCACCCTGTACAAAAAAGGACAGTGCTCCATTACTTTGACCAGCTGCTGATGTGAGTGGATTTAGAGAGACGTCGGTGTCAATACAACTGCTGCACATGATGAGAAAATTAAAAATGAATTATAAAATGTATGCACGTATTTGAGGGATGTAAAAAACCAAACACTGTACTGTAAAACAGCTGTGATGCAGCTTTAATGTTCTCTTCACATGTCACTGTATTTTATCCAGAGTGAAAAAAGAAAGTTTCTTTGTACAGACGACAGAAACTGCACAAAGCACATTAATAAGCCGGCAAGTTATGGTGAGATACTTTGTCTTTATCATGCAGTAACAATATTTCACGTTAAAATGATCTGTTGATGACTAGATTTATGTACATTAATATGTTGAAGTGTTTTACTTTGGACCTTGTACCTGTATTTTCTTTTCTACTCAGGAATTGCTACAGGGAGGTGTGTTCCTTTTAATGCCATGATCAAGACGTGTGAGATTAAGGGTTGGTGTCCTGCTGAGATCGACACCATCAAGCCGTAAGATGATGCTCTGCATGTGGTAAAGAGCTTTTTAGTAATGATGTGTCGGTTGCAAACGACACGAGCCGGATCTTTGAAGTGAACGATGCTCCTTGTCGCGAGCCGTGGGGTTTTTCTTTCTCTCTCTCTCTCTCGCACTTTTTCCCGCTTCACTCCGCATGCAAGCCTTGTGCTTTGCGCTGGGAAGAGGGGGGAGGGGCGGTAGTTACACTCGCAGTAGCACAGGAACAGAGCGGGAGGGAGAGAGAGAGAGAGAG